TTACTAGCAGGGTAGAGGTCCTTGAACCCACTCTGCCGTGAAAATCCAGGTCTTCAGTCAGCTCAGTCCTTGGGACTCTGACTGTATCTCAGTCTTGCTTTAAGATTATTACCACATGCAGAACTCCTCCCAATGGGTTACCTGGCAGTCCTGGGCTTCAACAATTCACCTCCACATATGGTCCCTGATGAATTTCCCAGCTCTGAATATCTGATTTTTTTTAAATTATTTTTTTTTTTGGAGGGGGGGGGGAAGCTGGGGGAGGTAAACTAAGTTAGAGCTTCATGCTATAACCCTGCTCCATAGTGAGCTGCTTCTGCCCAGAATCTGTGACTATATCTAATATTTTCCCCTGTCTTGTCATGTTGGTCTTCTTGTCTCCATACCCTCCTTGGCAAAATGTCAGAAACCATTTGGAAATTAATTAAAAAAAAAAAAAAAAAAAAAAGAGAAAAGAGATATATATAGTAGTTAATTGCACTGTTTTTTAACTAATGACAGAAATTCATCTAATAAAGTGAAGCAAGGTTGGGGTCAAGTTCTTCCTCCTTGCCAGATGATGACAAACTATACATCAAATTTCATCTGTTCTGTTGGGTCTGTCTGATAAAATTCAAATGAAAGTGTAATGAGATTGAAATGTCACTTCTACTGGACAGTAGTTAAGTTTCATAGAACCATTTGCATTGGAAGGGACATTCAAAGATCATACAGACTAAACTCCCTGCTGTAAAGTCAGCATCTTTCACTAGATCAAGTGACAGCTCCACCTAAACTGCCCTTGAACTCTTTCAGGGAGGGGACATCCCAAACTTCTCTGGACAACCCGTTCCAGCATCCTAGTACCTTCATTACAAAAAGTTTCTTCCTTATATCCAGTCCAACTCTACTCTCAGTTTAAAATTCTTACCCCTTGTTCTGTCACTACAGGCCCTGGTGAAGAGTTTATATCCATCTTCCTCATAAGCCCCCTTCATATATTGAAAGGCCACAGTGAGATTTCCCTGCAGCCTTCTTTTCTTCAGGATGAACCACCCCATCTTGCTCAGCCTTTTTTTCATGGAAAAGGTGTTCCAGCCCTTTTACTGTTTTTCTGGTTCTTTGTGGGGTTCACATGGGTGCATTTGTCAAGTCTGTCCAGTTTCCTCAGGATGGCACCTCTTCCCTTTAGTGAATCAGCTGCACTTCATATATGTGTGTATCTGCCTGGGGTCATACACAGTCTTGCTGAGGGTGCACTTAATCCCATTATCTGTGTAATTGATGAGGATTTAAACAGTTGCCTTTCCTTGTCACTGATGCAGTTATTCCATCGTGGGAAGCTGCTAGATTAGTCAAGTGTGATTTGCCCTTGGTGAAGCCATTTTTGCTGCCTATAGTCACTTCTCTGACTTGCATATGCTTTGAAATAACTTCCAGGAGGATCTGTTCTGTCATCTTGCCAGGCACTGAGGTGAGACTGGTCAGTAGTTCCCGGGGTCCTCTTTATTATCTTGTTTTAAAATGGGTGTGATATTCCCTTTTCTCTGGGAACTTACCTGACTGCATTGATTTTTCAAATATCATGGAGAGGGGCTTAGCAACATCATCTGCCGGGCCCCTGGGATGCATCTCATCAGGCCCCATAAACTTGCATATGCTTATGTTCCTCCCAGCTCATGCATTGAGGTTCAGGGACTTGAGAGATGTGTGAAGACTGATTAATGATAAACTTATTTTTATCTTTTTTACATTTAATTATTTCTTCAGCTCCTGGAAGCCCAACCTTGAAATAATTGAAAAGCCCTGAAGTCCATGGGAAAAACAAGCACTGGGATTTCAGTGATGTTCCAGCAGAAGGCCTGCAGGACTGATGAACAAAACTCACATGGGAATCAAACTGCAAAGAGATCACAAAAAAAGCAATCTACAAAGTGAAGATCAGAACAAACACAACTCCAAATCTAAAAAGACTTGTGCAAGATTGACTATGGGCAGTTAAAAAGGAACTCAGGGGGAGTCAGACCAATTACTTTGTTGTGCCTTGATAACATGTTCTGAAGAAGGAACACAAAGGCCCATGGAAATACACGGCTGGAATCCCCAAGTGTCCAGCACTGGACTGGCTTCACTGGGATCTGGGCAGTAAAAAAGAAATTGCTGGCACATGTTTGCAGCAAAACTCTATTGTGCAGTCTTGCAAACTCAAAGGTGCCTAGCTGAAAAGTCATTCTGTACATGAACTCAAGCTGGCTGGAATCTATACTGCAGTAAGAGCAGCCAAGAGCAGGTCTGATATTAATTCATAACACACACTAATTCTGGGGGGCTCCGTGCTACCTGTCTCCACCTTCCTGTCCGTCCACTATAGCTATTTCTCCACTCAGCTCCTTCCTTTCTTTCTTTTCCTTCCACAGACATATTCCATCACATAATAAAAAAACCTTGTTGGAATAATATTTTGAGATATTAATACAGTCAGAACTGTATAATATAGTGTATATTATATTAATATAGTAGGAACTTTCTGGGAAAAATTCTGTTCATTGGTTCTTTGAAAAGGACACCCAGCTAAGAAAAAGATGAACATAAAGCAGTTATAGACAAGGAAAATGTTCCTTGTAACAGATGTACCCGAAATCCAGAAACTGAACAGTTAATCAGCATTACAGATAAGACAAAGAAGACAAAACAAAGCAACCTTAGGCCGTTTTCTTGAGGTTTGATTTTTCATTATGAGCATACATCCCAAGTACTTTACAAGTTGCCCACCTTAACACATGGCACATCTTGGTAGATGTTAGGCAGAGCTCAACTCTTTTCCTTCTTTTCCCAGTTTCATCAGGCATCTTAACAAGTTTGAGAAAATAATGTCCCGATATCCAAAAAGGTTGTCATACAACAAACTGAGATGTGTTCCATCTTCACTGTAATCATAAATCACACACCTGAGCCTGAGCTCATCAGGTTAGCTAAAACTTTGAACTGAGACAGCAAAATAGTATCTCCTTGTTTTTTTCTTAGGATACCAATCTATCCTTTGACCAGAATAGGAAGCTGCTTAAGGAGTCAGAGAGAGGCCTGTTGAAGATGATGTGGGGTCCTGAGTGACACACAGTGATTGGATACTGTGGCAGTGACTTGGTAATTTAAGATAAGCTACTTCTGAGAGAATTAATCTGAAGTTGTGCACATCTGCTTACCTAGCTGAGATGAGGTGGCATCCTCAGGACCAGGAGTGCACAGGCTGATGGCAAAGGAGGATGAGAAAAGATAAATAATATGCCAGTGGTGCAATTGCCATAAACATGGCATTACGCTTGGCCTTGCAAGATGATTTTTCTCTGGCCACTCTTGCTCTTTGTCACTGCAGTCCCTTTTTCCAGTTGGGAAAAAAAAATATAAAAAAAAAAATATATAAAAATCTAGTAGGCATGTGTGCCCAGCTCAGCTTTATAAATGTTAAAGGATGTTTTGTCTTGATATTAACTTATCTGTGTATTGAGCAGTATATCCACTGGAGCCTATCTAGCTTGTCCATCCAGTGTTCCTGCATACACATACACTTCCCTTCCAGTGTGGAATGATATCTTAAGTTATTTGGCATCTATCTAGCTAAGGACTATAAAGTCTATTCAGCTGGAGCCTGTACAGGTATTTTGAATTGGTATAATTGTACATAGGACAGTGCCATCCATCACCACTTGTGCTCAGTAATGTGCTAATTTTCTAAATCTCAGCTATTTCAATAGGGGTGGGTAACTGTTCCAATGGAATTTTCTTTAAAAAGTTATACTTCGAGCTTTCCCTCTTGCCTCTCAGAAAATGGAAGGAAGCAACCCAATGTCTCCACCAAGTGAGAAGGGAGGACAAGTTGCAACAGGCCAAGAGGCTGACTTATCCCAGAGGCTAAAATGTTTATTCCAGGGCTGTCCTAATGAGGTCAATTCAATTAGCAGGGATGCATGTGATGCAGTTTTCCCCATAGTACTGTAAATGGGTTTTGTCTTACCTAGCTGACTTGTAAAGAAATAAATTAAGTATCAATATCACATTTGCTACAGCAACATACCTGGTGTTTGACCTAACTCAGTAAAACTCTACTCCCCTCCAACAAGGTGTAGCAGGGCGAGAAACAGCAGCTGCCTCACTCTCCTCAGACCAGTGCAGCTTGTTGGGTGAAACTTTGAGAATTAGTGAGTGTGACTCCCAGTGCCCTTTGCTTATGGTAACTAGGAGAGCCTGGCAGGCACAACTCCATCCCAAACAAGGGCCCAGGTATGTGACCTCAGGAATTCAGGCTGCCAGGGTGCAGGGATATGACCCCATAATATCAGAAAAGAAAAAACAAACAAGGTTGGGTATCTATACAGGCCTGTATGTTTCATAGAGGAAAAGGTTATAAATCAGAGCAAGGACTGAAATGCACCCTAAAGTGGATGCAGAGGAAAAGTAAGAAAAGCATTTAAGGAACAGGGCTTGAAAAATATTACCCGTTTCTTTTTTGTGGTTTATTTTTTCCTTTTAATACAGCAACTTAGGACATGAACAGTCTTCACAAAAACAGAAATATTACGAAATCTGATCCCATAATTTCTACTTCAAACTGCAAGGACGCCCATTTTGGGTGATCATTTCAGATACATGGAACTTGAGATCGGCCGTCCTTATAGGGAGCTGAGCAGGCAATTCCACGAAATTCCCCGTTTTTCTGCCCCGCTGGGAAAGCGGTGGTAGCAGGGCTGGGGCAAGAGCGAGGAAACGGGCCTGTCCCCCCACCTCCCCTCCACTTTCTTCCCCACTGCTCCTCCCTGCCGGCGCCCCGGCAGGGCTCAGGAGCGGGATGGGCATCGCTTCGACGCGGTTAAGGCGACGGAAGCGGGGGGGGATGGTCGAGGCCCCGCGAAAAGGAGGCGGCTGCAGGATTTGGGGGGGCAGGCGGGGGCGGAGGCGCGGGAGGCTCCGAACCCCGCGGGTTCCTACCGCGCCCAGCGCTGCCTCCGAACGTCTCTGCTGTCGAAATGAGGCCTCCGGAACGCGGGGAGAAACCGAGCCCGGCAGCTTCAACGCTCAAGAGGTTGGGAACCGGAGTCAAAGAGCGGCGGGCAGCAACAAAGGGCACTCAAAAGGCAGCTCGGAACACCCGTGCCTTTCGGGCCCCCTTCGCCCTACGATTTCCAGAGAAGGGACGAGTTCGCAAGGAACAGAAGTAGACTGGGAGTAAAAAAAGCCGCCGGCTGACGACAGGCGGGCACGTACCCAGGAAGTTCATCAGCCTCTTCCGCCGAGCAAAGGGGGGGAGGGGGGAAGTGGGGCGACTTTTTAACCCGAAAAGTGCTGTGCCCCAGAACAAAGCCGAGAGTCACGGCCAATCCCTGTGCAGGGCGGGCTTTTCGAAACCAGCAGCTCCCCGGGGGCCGGGCGGGAGCGCGGCTGCTCGGCCCCCGGCTGAGGGGAAAGGACAGGGAGCCCTGGCACCCACCCCCCCTTCCCGGAGCCGGGGGTGCTGCCCAACCTCCACGGGGACTTCGGGCTCGCACCGCTTTCCTGCGGCTCACAGGGCGCTGCTTTCCCGCGGAGATGTGTAGAAATGAGCAGTAACGCGGTGAGAGCCGCTGTTCTAAGCCCGGCACCTGTGGAGAATAAAAACATGGCGATCTCTCCTGTTACAGGTTTGAGCGCACAACAGCAGCGCCGAAAGAGAAAAGCTACAGTTACACTAACACACCCTGTATGAAAACAAGAGATTGTTTCAGCCCTTTTGCGGACACCGGTGGGTGGCTCTTAAAAGAGCCGTTGAATTTATCCGCAAAGCAGACAAAATTGTCGGGTTTTTTTCCAATTTACTTCTTCTTAGGCGCCGCCTTCCTCCCCTTGGCCGCTTTGGGCTTCCCTGCCTTGGGCTTGGCTGCTTTGGCCTTCACCGCCTTCGCCCTGGCCGGGCTCTTCGCGGCTGCCGCTGCCTTTTTGGGCTTGGCCGCCTTAGTAGCCTTTTTGGGGCTCTTGGTGGCTTTCTTGGCCACGGCAGGTGCCCGCCTTTTTGGCTTTTTTGGGGCTCTTT